GGGGGGGGCTTCTTTTTTTTTTTTTTACAACAGTGAGCAGCCACTCACTCCCGATATAGCGAGCAGGGGCATTCAGGAGATTTAAATATCCCTTATGCTAATGTGGGGGTCATATTGACCCCCATAGAGTGAGAGGGGGACCTAGGGGGGGTTAGGAAGTGGCGGGGAGCACTGCTCCCTGCCGCTTCTATTTTTACATTTTACAAGGAGGGAGATCCGAGCCGGTAGCCCTTCCTTGTAATAAACCAAATGAACAAACGTAGAGGTCTTCGTTCATTCGTTTGAAATTTCTATTCATTTATTCGTCTTTCTGACGAATTAATGAATAGATGAAATTCCCATTCGCATGCCCAAGTGTTTAACTGGGCATGTTCAGGAATTTCACAGCGCTATCTAGTGTGGGCAGATGACGTGTCCCACAGGGACTTCTTCTACCCACACAAAGATGGCACGGCCAGGACCTAGGTTCTGAAAAAATAGGTAATTTGGGGGGACAATTAGATGTAGTGGAGTCGGGCGGGGGGTTAAAAATAAAAAAACTGGATTCGGCCATGACAGTGCAGCTTTAATGCTGAGTTTATAGATTGTTATGATAAAGAGAGTAGTGTCTCACTGTTTATTTTTGCACTGACATGGTGGATTTTCCACATCAAATAACTTGTAACTTGACTGATGACCCCAATATTAAAATTTAGTAAAAAATCAAAAGATTCCAATTTGAGAATGGTTTGACAATTTACCTGGGGTTTGCAGAGCACCCACTTCCGCAAGAAACCTCCTTTAAATCCACCGGGCTATGCTCTGCAGTGCATGGCTGACTCCAAGGAGGTAGGTTGTAAAAGTGTTCTTAAATGGTTTGACTACTTACAGTGGAAAGGATGTCAAAGCACATCTGGCGCCATAACCAGTACAGCGGCACATCTCCCACGTTTTTAAATTTGGGGCCTGAATTCCTCTGTCTTTACTAGAAATTAGAAATTGCTGTGCCTGTGTTTATTTCAGTGTTCCACAGCAATAATACAGTAATGTATATATTTAACCTCTTAACACCGTTAGGGCATACTATGCCACACCTCATTTAGTGAGCCTAAACGCCGTTATGGCGACATAGTACGCCCTAATGATCGTGAGCTCCCCTGTCCCTGCAGACTTAGCAAGACTGCCGATCCCGGTCCAATCCCGGTGCCTCTCAAGAACTTGATAAAGACTGTAAGTACACCAACACTCCCCCCCCCCTTTGGACCAGTGGGGGCTATCCAGTCCCCACTGGCCAAGTTTGTCTTCACAGCACATGCTTTCAGTGGCAAGCATTTCACCAAGCGACATACCCAAAATAACAAAAACAAATATACCTAAAAATATAATATGGAAAGTGAATAACGTTTTAAGTAAAAGAGCCCCCCAGTGTTTAAAGTTGCACTCACAGAGTAGCAGATAGTTTCAAGCTCATGAATCATAGATGTCGCCAGGTTCACCAATATTCAGCATTCCGAGGATTTACATGAAAAGAAATTAAAGAAACCATAGTGCAACATTGTTGAAAAATTAAAATTACACGCTTTAATTATCACACTTACAAAGTGGAAATAGGTCACAAGCCCATCAAATGTGATCTCTAGTCCAATCCCAACAGTATCAGTGGCTGGGACTAACACAAAAATCTAAGGCAAAATAACAGAAGCATACAAATAAAAGCTCTAAAGTAAATAAAAATTGACTTTACGCATTTTGTCTAACATATAGACTTCTTCAGGAGTACATAAAAAGTGCTAGTAACTGCATCAATAAAGAGCTATAATAAGCAAAACCGTAGCTTCTTCTTTTAAATCCCCCTCTTTCGGCAGTTCACCAATCGCTTCCCCTTTTATGTTTTTACTTGCTCTGGTTGCTATATTCCATATATGGGCTTCCGGTAGTTTATTCAGACCGCAAATGCGTTCCATATACCCGGACGTTGAATCCTCTGCACTAGATGACGTCAATGAGTCTGGAACGCATAACGCGTTCCAAATCGTCCATACATATTCATGGGGAATCTTTCCCCATCCGTGGCAACATAGAAAAGAAGAATAATATCAAGTGATCAGCCCAGAGGTGTTTATAATATGCAAAATTCTTCAAACAGCATTTCCAATATACACTGCTCAAAAAAAATAAATGGAACACTTAAACAACACAATCGCCTGAGAGGGGATATGATAACATTATACAAATATATTCGCGGCCAATACAAACCATTGTGTGGAAATCTATTCACAAACCGGACTTTACATAGGACACAAGGCCATGCGTTTAGACTGGAAGAAAGAAGATTTAGTCTAAGGCAAAGGAAAGGTTTTTTTACTGTAAGAACAATCAGGATGTGGAATTCTCTGCCTGAAGAAGTGGTTTTATCAGAGTCCATACAGATGTTCAAGCAGCTACTAGATGCATACTTGCAAAAACAGAATATTCAAGGATATAATCTTTCAATGTAGGGTAATAACTGCTTGATCCAAGGATAAATCTGACTGCCATTCTGGGGTCAAGAAGGAATTTTTTTTCCTAGCTTGTTGCAAAATTGTGCTTCAAACTGGGTTTTTGCCTTCTTTTGGATCAACAGCAAAAAACAAATGTGAGGTAGGCTGAACTTGATGGACGCAAGTCTCTTTTCAGCTATGTAACTATGTAACAATGTAACTCCAAGTCAATCACACTTCTGTGAAATCAAACTGGCCACTTAGGAAGCAACACTGAGTGACAATCAATTTCTCATGCTGTTGTGCAAATGAGATAGACAACAGGTGGAAATTATAGGCAATTAGCAAGACACCCCCAATAAAGGAGTGGTTCTGCAGGTGGTGACCACAGACCACTTCTGAGTTCCTATGCTTCCTGGCTGATGTTTTGGTCACTTTTGAATGCTGGTGGTGCTTTCACTATAGTGGTAGCATGAGACGGAGTCTACAACCCACACAAGTGGCTCAGGTAGTGCAGCTCATCCAGGATGGCACATCAATGCGAGCTGTGGCAAGAAGGTTTGCTGTGTCTGTCAGCGTAGTGTCCAGAGCATGGAGGCGCTACCGGGAGACAGGCCAGTACATCAGGAGACGTGGATGAGGCCGTAGGAGGGCAACAACCCAGCAGCAGGACAGCTACCTCCACCTTTGTGCAAGGGGGAACACTGCCAGAGCCCTGCAAAATGACCTCCAGCAGGCCACAAATGTGCATGTGTCTGCTCAAACAGTCAGAAACAGACTCCACGAGGGTGGCATGAGGGCCCGACGTCCACAGGTGGGGGTTGTGCTTACAGCCCAACACCGTGGAGGACGATTGGCATTTGCCAGAGAACACCAAGATTGGCAAATTCGCCACTGGCGCCCTGTGCTCTTCACAGATAAAAGCAGGTTCACACTGAGCACATGTGACAGAGTCTGGAGACGCAGTGAAGAATGTTCTGCTGCCTGCAACATCCTCCAGCATGACCGGTTTGGCAGTGGGTCAGTAATGGTGTGGGGTGGCATTTCTTTGGGGGGCCGCACAGCCCTCCATGTGCTCGCCAGAGGTAGCCTGACTGCCATTAGGTACCGAGATGAGATCCTCAGACGCCTTGTGAGACCATATGCTGGTGCGGTTGGCCCTGGGTTCCTCCTAATGCAAGACAATGCTAGACCTCATGTGGCTGGAGTGTGTCAGCAGTTCCTGCAAGACGAAGGCATTGATACTATGGACTGGCCTGCCTGTTCCCCAGACTTGAATCCAATTGAGCACATCTGGGACATCATGTCTCGCTCCATCCACCAACATCATGTTGCACCACAGACTGTCCAGGAGTTGGCAGATGCTTTAGTCCAGGTCTGGGAGGAGATCCCTCAGGAGACCATCTGCCACCTCATCAGGAGTTGGATCAGCCTGTAGTGTGTTTTTCCACTTTAATTTTGAGTGTGACTGGAAATCCAGACCTCCATGGGTTGAAAATTTTGATTTCCATTTTTTTTATTTTTGTGTGATTTTGTTGTCAGCACATTCAACTATGTAAAGAACAAAGTATTTCAGAATAATATTTAATTCATTCAGATCTAGGATGTGTTATTTTTGTGTTCCCTTTATTTTTTTGAGTAGTGTATATAGATACATGATCACAATTCATAATCCACTATATGTGGTATAGACAATAAAAGTACAAGTTATAAGTGCATATCACCAATCCACAGAAACAAAGGTACCACCATATATATATTAAAGTATACAGTTAGATATAAAATGTGTCTAGCATGACAATGGAGAGGGAATTTGGAGACACTCATCTGAAACAATAAAATGGCTTAAAAATAGAAAATCAAAAAATGAAAATCAAACTAAAAATAGAAATTATGAAAAAATACAATTATAAGAATCAAACTAAATTAAAATCCACATTTAGCCCACGTGGCTGAAGTGTTTTAAGTCTGTGGATCCAAAATCCCTCTCGGTGTCTCAATTTCAAAATTATATTTCCACCTCTCGCATCCACAGCAACCTGTTCAATGATTACCCAGGATAAATATTTTTCTTTAACCCCTTAAGGACACATGACATGTGTGACATGTCATGATTCCCTTTTATTCCGGAAGTTTGGTCCTTAAGGGGTTAAACTTAGGGCAGATATTACAGTGTAAT